ACAGTTAGTTGTCCTCACACAGAAGATAAACAAGTTCAAGAGCCTGGATCTTGCCCAGGGTACAGTCTTAACACAATGTTAAATAATTATGTGTCCAAAACATGTTATCGAGTAATTCTGAGCCCACATTTGACAGTGCCCTCACTATTATTGCCCTCGGGTATTATCTTTACTCACTAAAGGTAATGTTATTATCTTTACTAAAAAATTATAACATGGAGAAAAAAATAGATCTTATAGGTCTAAAAAATATTCATATTTTTTTCATATTTAGAAATAAGAATATGATTTACCTGTTTTCCCCAAATTGCTTGGTTTGACCCCTTGACTGTGGGTGACATTTACTGGTATGGAAGGACAGATGCTATTCAAACAGTTTGGGATATTCTCGTATATTTTCAGTTGTCTTATTTTTGAGGATGTTAATAATTTCAAGAAGATATGCGGGGTGGGGAGAAAGTAGGTTGATAGTTGTTCGTATGTAAAAAAATGCAATAATAAATAGTTATATAAGAATAAACTGTTTCGTGTACTCACAACTGTAGATCTACTTTTGCCACACCCTGTATATGTCAAACATATTTAAATAATAACTATTACTTAATGATATTAACAAAGAATTAAGCCCCAGTAGCCCATTAAGCCACACAGGGTCATAGAAATCACAGGTAAATTGTAGATTTTCTTTGTATGGCAAAGGCCAGTAACTATCTCTGAAACTTTCCGTGGTTTAATTGGTGGATGTTTTCTTGAATATTTTCCTAAACTCCTTGGAGTTCAGACTTTTCAAAGTATTGCCAAGAAAAGTGACTTAGTATTTTCTACTAATAATGCCCAATAAGTGGGCACAAATTACAACATAAGAAGTATTTAGAAATGAGCAATAATAGTGTGGTACTTTAAATAAAAAGTCAGCTTGCTAGAAAGGACACCTAATCTAGCACCTGCAAGTCTTTAATGATTTTTAAGAGTCAGTTTAAGGGCTGTTGACATAACAGTCATTGTTGTAACTGGATGTTTTGAGTGATAACAACGAGAAGGACGAGAAGGACGAATCCCTGTCTAGCTGACAGTGCTGAGTCAATGACATAAAGTACATACAAAATAAAATCAACAATGTGCCTGGCTGGCATGGCTCAGCGGTTGAGCATCGACCTGGGATCAGGGAGATCTCCGTTCAGTTTCCGGTCAGCGCACATGCCGGGTTGCAGGCTCCATTGCCAGCAGGGGGCGTGCAGGAGGCAGCTGATCAATGACTCTCATCACTGATGTTTCTCTCTCTCACTCTCCCTCTCCCTCTGCCTCTCTCTTCCTCTCTCTGAAACCAATAAAAACATATTTAAAATCAACAGTGTGATGAATGTGATCTGGCCTTCGGGAGGGTGTACAGTGATTATCATTTCAAACCTGATAATCAACTCAATGTTTTTACATAGATGAAATATGGTAAAAGAATAAGAGTGGAAGTGAGAGAGAAAAGACGCAAGGCCAGGTCACAAAAAGCTGACGAGGAATGTGAGAAGGATGCTGCAGGTTAAGAGGGAGCCAGTCACTCACTGGTAAGCGGCCTGCCCTAGACCTCTGTGCACGGGAGGAAGGCCTCAGGCTGGCTGCCTTTGCAGAAAGGAGACAGGGCTAGTTTAATGAGCAGTGGTTTAAGTGACCGCCTGCCTGATCCATGCACTATGATGGGAACATCAAATCTTCAGGATAATGACACTCTAACAGGAAGAACAATGCATAGTAAAAACATTCAGATGAACTCTGACAGCCCTGCACCAAAATTCATACATGCTGCATTACACATGGTGAAATGATCTGCAAACAGATAGCAAGCATATCAATTAAATTCTCTGTAAAAATAAATTTCTCAGCAAAGAGTTTCAATAAAAACTATGAACAATTAAGTTGGAAAATACAGCTTCATTTCTTTTTTTTTGAGTAGACATATTATTTAAAATTATGATAAAATCTTCTAAAACTATGAAGAGTTGTTGGCCCATCTCTAGATTAAAAACAAACTGAAATAAATTAGATTTTATGTTGAAAAAAGTAACACAGCTCAACAACCTATGTGCCAAGTTTCGCTCATAATTTGAAACAGTCGAGCAATAAACTCTGAAAAGGAATCTCTAATGGAAGCCCTGAGAACACTTGACTCCAGCCCTGCTACTGGTGCCATAATAAATCCAGAAACCAAAAGCTCGGGTTCACGGGCAGAGGAGAAACTCCCTGGCTCCGTGTGATATAGAATCTACTATGAGATCTTGAGGAGGAACAATCTGCGCTTGCTGAGTTTCTTATGCTTCATCTCCCAGGCACACAACTCCCTCACCCCGACTCACAACCCCCAGGGACATTTCATTCCTTGCTGCAGTAAGGATAGTGAATGCTAATAAAGAGCCTCTTGATTTTTTGAGGTAAAAATATTATAACATAGTACTTAATGCCATTTAGAAGAGAAGGTGTTCGAGTACAGAAGCTAGGCTATGAGGTTCTGGAAAGCAGTTAAGTAAAATATGTGTGAGATAGAAGAGAGAGGTTCTTTTTGAGTAATAGTTTCAGGGTGACCAAATTTGAGGGATAAAGTTGAAAACCACCTTAGGATTAAAAAACTCAACAGTTTTTTGTGTGAACAGTGGCAGACATTCTGTAAGTGTATTGTTGAAAGAAATGTAGGTCATTCACAGCTCCTGTTAGAGATGCACAGACTACAATCCCTAGCAAGTTATCCCTCTGTAGGATTACAGAGGTTGCTGGTAAGTGAAATGGAATCAGTTTCATTAAAATAGCTGAGGAAAGTCTACTTGAAAGGTAATAATGGTTCCACTCAAAACTGCTACTTGAGTTCATAGGTGAACTTCATAAAGCTCCCTGATCTAAGACTGCACAGAGGGAAGCACTTGTCTATGTTTATTTGCCTCTGGATCATATATTTCTTACGGTGTTGGGTCAAAATATAAATCAGAATGTGGTATTTTTTCCTCTCAACACCCACAGAGAGTGGAGGGGACAGTCATGTAGTACTCTCTACACGCACATAGTCAAACTCTCCCGAAAATGGAGGGTCAACTCCCAGGGACTGGCGGGGACAGGAAGAAACCAAACCCTGGCTCATCTTCTATTGGGGCCATTTTGGGACTCAGGTTTAATGGATTCCAACTAGTAATGGGAATCTGAGAATTATAGCAATATATCAAAAAGCCCAAAGGGAAATCTAGATTTATTGGCAATTTAGTTGCAAAAGTGAACTAGAAATTTTGTATGGTTTTTATTTCTTGTTAGAATTTTACCTGGTCAGTAGTAACACAGGTTATTTTACAATTAACAGAAGCAATAGTTGGTATGATATAGTCTTCAAAGAATAAAAAAATAAATTAATGCTGCTTATTTAGTAGAAAAAAATCTGTCAGAAACACAAGGTTTCTAGGAGTAAAAGTGGCTGTTGTTTAAAAGGTAGGAAGCCACGTGCCCATTTCAGTCTCCATCTCATAGTTGAGGGGCTGCCTGAGGCTGAGAAGTAATGAATGTGGCCAGAGTCCTTAAGTGCGGGAGCCAGCACCCAAATCCAGTTCTGAGAGAGACTTTCTTCCCCGTCTTCTAAGCTGCTTCCTTCCTCCGAGATGTTCCTGAGTTTCGGCTTTCCCTCCACTCTCACGTAGGTATGCAGTAATACATTAGTTACTACTCATTGTGACAACTTCTGTGGTTTGTATAAAGTGCTGAGAAAATATGTCAAGTTGCTATCACGCAAAAAATCTCACATAATATTAATAATAAAAAGCACAGGGATAAAAAAAAGGAATTTGACTGATACTTTTCATTGGGCAAATTCTACGGTATTCAAAACAACAGTAAGAGCTTGGTGAATATATTTTTTAAAAATGACAGATCACCTCCCTGTATAATAATAATGTTTGCATGGTTATCCCTGGCCCCAGTTACCCTTCCATCCGAGGACCAGATGTGCCCTCTAAATTAGGGGGTGGGGCAATCAGACAAATCCAAATTGAAGGACATTCTGCAAACAGCTATCAATGGGCTGCAAAAGACTGGGGACCACTGTAGAATAAAGGAAACTTAAAAGACATGACAATTAAATACAATACATGAACCTTGATTGGAAAGTAGATCAAAAGATAGCAAAACAAAACAAAAACACCTATTAAAATAAAACAGCTATTTAGGGCATTACTGAGACAACTGGGAAGTTTGAAGACGGACTGTGTATTAGATGATGCTACTCTATCATTCACTGTTAAACACCCTGGATGTGACAGCTGCACTGTAGTTATGTAGGAGGGTGTCCTTGTTCCTGGAAGATACCCAGAAGTGCACAGAGAGGGGAGGGATACATGCACTGAACTCTCAGACCTGAGAAGGGGTGGGGGGAGAGAGAGAGAGAAAGAGAGAGAGGGAGAGGGAGGAAGCAGGGCTGTGTATGAGCATGCAGAGTGCAGGAGAGGCTTGTGTCATTCACAGATATGCAAAGGGGTGAAAGGTATGTGAGTGTTCTCACTGTTGTTCTCACAACTTTTCTGTAGGACTGCAATTTTTCAAAATGGAAGGCTGGGGAAGAACTTAAGAGTGCCAGGAGGTAACCCTGTGCCTGTGACAGAGGAGGAATGGAGCCCAGAGCCAAGCTGTGTCTTACGCTGCATGGCTACAAAAGGTCTGCTTTAGGACTTGAGCGCTCGTTCTTAGCCGAAGGCAAGACGACCAGTCCGAAAGTCTGAGACGTGTCCAGGTGACATTTCCTCCACTGGGGCATTACGGCACTTACATGATTTTTAACTAAAAGGATAAGCACCCCAACATATACTTAAAAAAGAAACAGTACAAACTAGTTACACATTTGGTAAGAGTATAAATATTTTTGGAGTTGCAAAAGTCAATAAAAGGTAAAATCATTCTGATTTTAACGTCCATGTACATGTGTTCACTGGTTACTGCTGTGCATTTAATTTAAGACGGCCTTTTTAATAAGCAGAAAATGTGCATTTTTATATTGTTTAAATTTTAATATGGACTTTTGTTCAAAACAACACAGACATTCAGGCTACTTGTAAATGATACAAGATTTTTTGCTAATGAGGCATTATGTAGAACATATGCAAAAATCACAGCTCAGTCCTCCAAAATAGACCACAATAACAAGAAAAAACACAATTTTAATAAAAAGGAGCAGCACTGGGCTTTTACTTCAAAGCAATTAAGGGCTTTGGATAACCAAAAGTTTATGTCAAGCTGATGCCAAACCAAACTGGTCTATTAAACACAGACTGTGAAGAGTTTCTATAATATTCTACGAGAGGGCTCTTTGCCATGAATCCCAGCCCCGTCCTCTGCAGATTACAGCCATGTTGGGTTCATGTCTGAGAACAAGGAGTCCAACATCCAGATCAGACTTCTAGAATTTCAAATCTGAAATAATGTATCCGTGAAAGACAAGTTCAAATATGTTTTCCATTTTGTAATTTTTCTCTACAGTAAATTATACCAAGTTTTATATTCTCCCCAACATTTTTTTCAACAGTTTTCCATTAGTCTAAAAAAAACCCCTAAACTGCTGTTACACATAAAACTTTGAGCTATGTGTAAACATATAAGAAAAAAAAAAGACTTGAAGCCCCTTATTTGAAGTCATTTCTTCAGTTTTCAACAACTATATTTCAAGAAACTATATGCCATTCACTGTAGGCACCCTTCCTTCTAAGGAAGTAACATGTAATTTTCAATTTTATAAAATCAGTGAGGTGGGGTATACATTAGTTTATTTCTTTGGCCTCGGCAAACAGAAGTGACTTTACCTGTAAATCTTATTTTGTCTTACTTCTTATTTATCCTCACTCAAGGATATGTTTCCTGATTTTAGAGAGAGGGACGCACACACATCAATGTAAAAGAGAAATATTGCTCGTTGCCTCCTGCAGGCCCCCTACTGTGGATTGAACCCGCACCCTTTTTGGCGCACAGGATGATGCTGGACCATCCAAGCCACACCGGCAAGGGCAGCAGTTCAGTTGTTTTTTTTATATGTTTTTATTGATTTCAGAGACAGGAAGGTAGAGGGAGAGAGAAAGAGAAACGCCAATGATGAGAGAGAGTCACTGATTGGCTGCCTCCTGCACGCCCCCTACTGGGGATCGAGCCCTCAAGCCTGGCATGTGCCCGGATCAGGAATCAAACTGTGACCTCCTGGTTCATGGGTTGATGCTCAACCACTGAGCAACACTGGCCAGGCAAGTAGTTCAGTTTTAAGGTAAACTCTTTTATGTGTACATGTTGATGTCTCTTGCTGACAATATTTAGAGTAGGAAATGTGCGTACCTGTGTATTACTATTTCTTATGCTGTTCTAGTCCCAGGATTGAAAGACTTTTGGATCTCCCTTTCATTTAACACTGAACATTCTAGTTCCTAGACCATCAATCCCTTCGGAAGACAGAACAGCAAATATAGTGTTGATGCTATTCTTTGGGAATTTAAGAAATATAAGAGAAAGTGAAGCTGATAGGAACTGGCTCCAAGCTTGGGCTTGGCCTAAGTGTAGAATTTTTATGTTTAGATAAAATCTTAAATATGGCTGTGAGCAATTTACTAAGATCACCACATTTAGTGCTAGAGTCTGGTGCTTCAGCATGGTTCCTCACAAGGAAACACTGCCTGCTTTTCCAAGGAGGCTAAGTCTAAACCAGTTCTTCTTCTTGAGGGACTGTGAATAACTCCTAGGTATTCAAGCTGGTTCAACACCAGGGCTCAAAGTATATCACCTAATATACATGCAATTCTCAAAAACATTCATGTTTCAGCAGGCTGGTGTGTCTCAGAGACTGAGCACAGACCCAGGAACCAAGAGGTCCCTGGTTTGATTCCCAGTCAGGGCACATGCCTCAGTTTCGGCTGGATTCCCAGTAGGGTGGGTGCAGGAGGCAGCCCATCGATGATATTCTCTCTCATCGATATTTCTATTTCTCTATTCCTCTCTCTTCCTCTCTAAAAATCAATAAAAATATATTTAAAAAACCACATGTTTCTTTTGTCCTCACTTAGCAGCATATATAAACATCAAAGTATATAGAATTTCACTATATAATTTAATTTCACATACAACTTTTTAGAAACAGAAATTATTGATTTCTGTACTAAGCTTTTAAGTCTCTGAAATATAAAGTTTTTCATATATTTTTAATCCCACTTTAGTTTTTTAAAAACAAGTCTCACATTATGCATCATTTCTTAGCTTTTTCAAATATTACCATGTAGGGTTACTTTGTTAAAGGAGATTAAACTCTAAACAAGCCTGAAATGAAAAGCTGGAAAATCATCCTTGGTTTTTCTAAATAAGTTCCTAGACACATAAGCATGGTGTCACATAAATTGGAAAGGGGGAAAACAAACCGAGGATCTAGGACTCATTTAAAAAAACAACATTAAGAGAGAAATAAAATAGATATAAGGAATGCAATGTGCAGGCCTCATTTGGACTCCAATTCAAACAAATGATAGAAAGACATCTTCAAGGAAGTTTGACTATAAACTGGTTATTGGCTAATATTGAGGAATTGCTGTTTTTGTTAGGTGTGATAATGGCCTGGTGGTTTGTAATGTGTGATAATGGCCTGGTGGTTATGTCAAAGGAAAATTCCTTATCAGAGAGAGATAATATACTAAAGCATTTACAGGTGAGATGACATGATATCTGGTTAGGGCTGTTTGATTGAAGAAAATAAAGGTGACAGGATAGATGAAACAAGATTGGCAACACACTGATGACTGTTAAACCTGAGTGATGGTGGGTACATGGGGGTTTAATATACTATTCTCTTTACTTTTGGGTATGCTTGGTAAAACAAAACAAAACCCAGACAAACATAAAGAAAAAAGAAAAGAAACAAAAAGAGAAAAGTCATAAAGAAAAGAAAAGAACTTACGGAAGAATACATGAAGTCTTGTTGGAAGCACAAGTGAAAGCACAGGACGAGAGGCCAGGCGCCAGGAAGCAGACAGTCACAGATGGGGATGGTATGGAAAATGCTGCACACGAGCAAAGGCCAGAGACGAAGAGGCCGCAAGGAGACCCCGGAAGGGCCCCGCCATCCGTAACAATCAGCAGCATTTGATGCAAACTCTGACTACCAGGAGAGGTAATGCCTTTTCGGGATGAAGGAGACTGGTACCACGTTGTGAAATTGATTACGTTTTAAGGTTGAAAAAAACTTAAGGCTGGACTTATTCACAAGGTGTGCCAGCCACCGAGTCCTTGTCACACATACTTCTCTTGGGAGGTATAACCAAATGGCGTCAGGCTTCCTGCAGTCTTGGTAAATGGGGCCCATGAGTGGAGTCACCAAGGCTGAGCACCGAGGGAACGCTGCCCTCAGACTGGGGCTGCTGATGGCAGTTAGTAGGCCTAGAGAAGGCCCATGTGAACAACGTGAAGTAAAAACATGATTTTAAATAGGCCAGGCTGACCCTTCTATGGCACGTGATGAAGCATCCTTTCTATTTCTCCGTCACCGTTTACCCTCTCCCTGCCCTCTCCACCTCGGCCCGCCCTGCTCCCCACTGCAAACACCACACTGCTGCCCACGCCCCCGAGTTCTTTTTTCTCCTTTTTGGCTCAATCCCTCCACTCACCCCCAAATCCCTCCCCCAACTCCAACAGAGCTGTCTGCCTGCTCTCTATGAGTCTGTCTCTATTTCGCATGGTAGTTCAGTTTGTTCATAAAGTATTTTAAATGAATTTTGACTTTATGAAAGTGATAATTCTGTTTTAACATACCTTTGATCTGTAGCCTGCTGTTCTCGAAGCTGAAGAAGAGATAACTCAATTTCATTTTCTTTTCTCCGCAACTGAGTTTTCAGGATCTCAGCCAACTGCTCTAACTCTTCTATCTGGCCTCTCTGTGACTGAATAACATCTTCTCTGAAATAAAGAGCCTTCACGTGAATGTGGCGTTTGAGGAAATATCCACAGTATTTAAGATCAGTACAAAGAAAATTCTTCATAAGAAAGAACAGGCAAAAGTTAAAAACATTCGCTTAAGTGCCTCTGCAACATAGGAAAATAGTAGCAGATTACCGGTGATGACCCAGAGGCGCAGAGGGACAGTCAAGATATCCTTTTTATAAGATAAATGTCCTAGGCAATGGATTGGTGGGTAGATTCAGTTGGTAAGTATTTATTGTTCACCTACTATGTATTCCAGTCTGTTCATCTTCAGCTAATTTCTATGCCTTTGTTCTTTCACATGCAGATCTCCCTGTTGCACCCAAATTAACACTTCAGAGAGAGGTGGCAAAAATTCGCAAAACAGAATAGGTGGTCTCTAGCACGCGTTTCTCTCTAAGGTGTCTGGCAGCATCCCAGTGTAACGGGCCTCAGGAAACTGGTGTGAACCTGGCTTTTCAGCTGACTAACAGGTAGACAAGGTCTAGTCTGTTAGTTTCTACTCTCTCATAGTACACTCATCACTGTAAAATAGCCAGAAAAAAAAATTTTAAGCCTATATGATTCTTAAGCAACTATCTAAAGTATGATACTCTGCCTCATGTTTTTGTTCCTCATTCAGAACTGGTAATTTCTGATGACCAGGTGAAGGTCCGTAGATAAGGTGGAACCTGATCTTTGTTTGTGTGACTCAGACACTGAAACCATGAGGCTTTGATTAACTGGAAACGTAAGCTCAACATGGCAGGAGTAAATTTTTTGAAACCATAGTATGATGAAGAATGCAGTACCGTAGAATCATAGCGAAACAAATCTGAAATCCATATGTATTTGATAACTCCAAGTGTTTAAGCCACTCCCTCCAATATTTTTTTAACCACAAAAAGGCTAATTATTTCAGGAATAAAAAATTACCTGTAATTTTTCTGAGAATAAAAATACTGCCTCTAAATGAATGGACTTTATGCCATTCCTTTGGGGGGAAATTACAATAAAGAGGACTCTTCTGAAAACACTCCCATTGATGCCATCGGTCCAGGTGTTCATTTTCCTCATTTCAATGGAAACATGCTTAATAATATGTTCTTATCACAAAGGTCTAGCTGTATTTTGGTGGAGCAAATTATTTGTACATAAACCAATTTTATTTAAAATAAAGGAAAGAGAGAGATAAAAGAAAAAAACAAAACATGATCAATAAACAAAGTTCTAAAATGACCACAAAAAGAATACATACAAATTTCTTATTTCTCCTCTGGCTTCTTCAAGTAAACTGTTGCCACATTTTGTCAGCATGGGTTGATCTACATCTATATCTTGGAATCTAATACCTAAAAATAAATTAATAAGATTATAGAAGTTAGAAAAGAGGACCCTTGATTTGGTATCATGAGGAAATGTGTAACATGATAACATTTCTTAAGTACTAAGAGATAAGTGCTCTGTAGTAGAGAAAATTAGAAATATGCTGCCAATGGGACTATTAGATCTCAGCCACCAGTTGGCACTAAGTCAAACACAGCAGCAAGTATAGCCCATTTAACAAACTCTACTATGGAAAACAAATTACCTAGAAATGATTTCATTCAACTTAGATTTAAAACTCCTGAAATAATTTCTGAAAGCACCAGTCCTCAATTCAGGCCTTTACAATATAAACTGAAGTATGAGAGAAAAGTTTCAAAAACTTGACTTTTTTTTTAGTATTTTGATAAATGTTTCCTGTCCTTTGGTTTATTCCATGCCAATAATATAACTTTTCTTACAAAAATAGTTATATGCAATTTTATAAGCCTGGTCCCACTGTTAAAAATGAGATACACTTTTAATTACATGAATTAGTTTCCACTTAGAGAATAATTAAATTATTAGAGTTTAAGATGAATAAAATATGACAATTTAGTTTTTAATGGTGCATAGTCCCAGAGATAGAAAAAATTCTATCTCTTCAGAAACGTTCACTTTTTAAAAATGAGAATTTTAATTAGAAAAATAGCACTATTATTTGTTATTTCCAAAAATTTCACCATTTTCTGCTGTAGTCTAAAGAACAGAAAAGGCTTTGCCTAAAACATTAAAACAGTTTACTGTGTTAAAATTTGCCAATTATATTATTTTGGCAGTAATGCTATTTCTTAAGCATTTCCTACATAAATCATGGAAAAACTAAACATCACTAATGGAATTAGAAAAATCTATTTATATTCAAAATATTTCTTAAAACAACGGTCTCATGGTAGTTGCAATGGTTATATTTTAAAACATATACATGTCATAAAAATGTTTGTTCTTCACAGTAAGATCTGTTTCTACATTACAATGATCACACCTTGAGCCAGTACTTTTGTCCTTTATCCTGACAAGGCATAAATAGAAAATGGTATCTGTACAGCAGCGTGGGGGTAAGGCCCACGGGGCTGCTGGGGCTCTCACCCCGCCATCACAGGCCGCACTGTTTCTGATAAGGCTGGCCTAATTCTAGCCTCAAAGGTGGTCTTGAAGAGTCTAATAAGGTTACTATGGTATCAACCTTGAGAGTGATGCTTCAAGTATACTCAGAAAGACAGTGGTTAAGAAAGTATTTATCACTATTTAATGCTTTGTGCAGCTTCTATGTCTTGAACTCTGTACCAAACTGCGAAAAAGATCTGAACTGCTGAGTGTAAACACAAGGAGAAATTCAAGCTATGTAGTCATATTTTCAAGACTCAGCTGCTCTGTGGCTTTTTTTTTCTATAGGAGAAACTCCCACCAATTCTTCCATTTAAACAGCACTTCACAGTACTACATTAGCTTGCCATGCTTATCTAAAATTTGGGTGTTGTGTTAGTCTGAAAGACCCTGCCGACCTTAGAGATCAGCTTGCCCATCTACAATCACAGATGACCAAACTAAGGTTCAGAGAGGACAAGTGACTTTTTAAAGGTGAAATATATTATTGGGGAGCTACCACCTCCTAACCATTTTTCTAATCCAGTGTTATCACTCCATTTTACAGATGGGGAAAACCAGGCCCTGAGAGTTCAAGTGCTCTCTTCCATGTAAGAAGTTAATGAGTGGCAGAATGTATTTTCTGGTTTGTAATTCATCATGACCACATTGGTTATATTGAGTCTATTGCCAATCTCACATAGCGAGGGGTAGCCAAGCTCTTTCATCCTGCAGCTGCCTCCTGCCTGTGTGGAGGCCTTACTGACTTCAAAGGAACTCTGTCTAGGGAATAAAGTGTTAACATTTTGGCTTGAAGAAAAAAATAGAACAAATTTTTCTCCCTTTCTGTTCACATGGTGTTTTTTTCTTTCTCAATGAATTGAAATGCAAGCTTTACATCAATTTTTATGTCCCTAAAAATGTTTGGTCTTTATGTGAAGTGTATTCCAAATGAAGATCAATTAGAGCTAACATTTTACTTCCTTCCCTAGTAGTTGAAATTAAAAATGTGTTGCCTAAAATATTTTTACTGACTTTCTGCTTCATTATAAATACAGTTTGTCTGTGGGTGGAGAGAATTGGGATTTTTATTAGAAATATTTAGGTTCTTTTTATAATGAGTTTTGTCTATGCAATTGAATTGCTTTGTAACCTGGGTAGCTTTTAGGTGACTCATTTTCAAAATCAAAAAAGTGACTGGCCTATGCTCATTTTTGGAGATGGAAGAGACCCTTTTGATAAAGAACTTAAGTGTGATCATATATAAGCAAACTAGCTGGTTTCTCCATTTGCCTACGTAAATGCGATTTGCTTCTGTAATAAAAAACACACAACTCAAGCTAAACTGAACTCATATTTCATGTAGTTTCATATATGTCTCATATCAGAATGAATAGTTATGTTCAATGTCTTACTAAACAAATTTGAGTGTGATCCAGTTATTTTTAAATAAAATGATCTTCATGTTAATAATGATTTTATCAAAAAGCAAGTCCAAAAACAATTTTTCTCTTTCTAAAGAAACTTAAAAACCTGATTACAGAAATAAAACTCTGTGTTGTGTGTAAAATGACCTATTAAAAGACTTCAGTTTAGGATTTATGGAAGCCTTGTTTTACCTTTCCGGGGGCATTCCTGGGAGCCTGAGCTTTCATTTACTTTTCTGCGCCCAGTGTTTACGCGAGATTGCACATAACTGTAAGGAGTTTGCCTGCCACCCTGGATTTGAAGTTGCTGTTTCGCTGAGATTAGTCTGTTTTTGAGGACTTCATTCTGTCTTTCAAGCTCATGAACTTTCTCCTGTAGCTGCTCAATCATTTCTTCCATTTCCACATCTCGTCCCAGCCGCTTGGGGCCGCCACCAACCCGCTCATATCTTTTCTTGTCATTAACTAGCCGTATTAACTTGGTGGCCATTCTAGGGAAATAATAAAAAGATGAAAAGGAATGTGAGAAGTCAGCATAAAATGCATTCTGTTGAAAGGAACATAATCACTGTGAAGACT